GCCATGGTCTTTGCAATTATGTGCTATGCATCTGGTATATTCACACAATGGAATATTACGCTTCATTGGAAAAACAAGGAACTCATAATATTATGCAAAATGGATGACCCTGGAGGACATTATGCTGAGTGAAATATCTCAGTCATAAATGGACAAATACTGCATAGTGCCAGTGTTATGAAACGGCCTAGCATCAGGATTGGGGGAAGACTGAGAAAAGAGGGGATAAATTATATATACTGCATTGCAGCAGATGAGGGAGAGAACTGTTTAAAAGGGATATATGATTAGGTAGTATTGTCATGACATGAGTCCAGAATGGAGGCTGCATAGTGGAGTGGACTTGGGGGGAAGGATTGTATAACAATGAAATTTTTTTTTTTACTTTTCAAAACAAAGGCTGCATAGTGGAGTGGACTTGGGGAAAGGGATTATATAACAATCAAAGAATTTTACTTTTCAAAGAGAAGAGTGAATGGGGTGGGGGAGGTTGGGCAGGGAGAAAAGGGCAACAATGAAAGAATGGAAATCCAAAGTCTCTGTAAACTTTCATTAAAATTAATTTTTAAAAAGTTTTAAAAAAGCAAACTGGCAGGAAGGAAAATGTGCAACAATGATTGGATGGAAATCCAATTTCTTTATAAACTTTTATTAAAATCTCAGTTTTAAAAAGAGAACATAGAATAAAAACCAATGCCTTTGAATTATGATGCTGAAGAGTACTGAACATCCCCTGACTGCCAAAATAATAAACTAGTCTGTCTCGGAGGAAGTTATACGGCAAGGATGGTGATACTTGACCTCACATACTGTGGGCATGTTGTCAGGAGGGGCAGGTCCTCGGGAAAAGACATCATGCTGGGGAAGGTGGAGGGTCAGAGGAAGCTCCTCAACAAGACGGACTGATGAAGAGTGACTGCAACAATGGACGTGAGGCTGTCAGACCTGAGGGTGGTGTAGGATGGGGCAAGAGTCAGATCTCTAATTCATACGGTTGCTGTGAGTTACAGTTGAGTGGGTGGCACCTAACAGATTAATAGATTAACAATCTATTATTTTAACACATTAATAATCCTAGAATGTAAAAAAAAATATCCTAGAATGTTACGTTCAGATACTTAGGCAGTGAGTTTTTAAATTCTCTTTAAAAACTAAGTGCGTCCTCTTAGAAGTTTCTAAATAAGCAACTAAATTTTTTCATCTTAAATAGTTGCAAAAGATAGAACTTCTGACACACTGTAGTTACTGTATCTTTAATTTTTTTGACATTTAGCCAAGGAGGTCTAAGTACAATGGCTATCTGATAGATGCAATCATCCTTGCAAAACTTCACGAAGGAGGCAATTTTGGTAATGAAAAATATCTAGTTTCCTTTTATTCCTTGCATTCATATTTATATTTCCGTTTCTTCCTCAAAATTTTCATCTAACAATCCTCCCCACCTTGCTATAATGTAACCTGTGTATCTATAACATAATTCTATATTATCTTTATAAACTATAAAGGTTTGAAGTATGAAATCAGCTTCTTCTGGATTGAATTTTTAGTACATGGCCATTCAATATAAAATGGAATATAAATACTAATAATTAAGCATAGTGAAACTTTACTGGAATTCCTTTTCTGAATGGACAGACTTCCTGTGCCTGCTCCCAACATTAGTGTCATTGCCTAATAATGTTGTTGTTGAGTCAACTGTGGGATCCACAGCAACCCTGTGACCAAGACATGCCACCAGCCCTATTCTGTGCCATCCTCCCCGTCGGCAGCACACTTGAGCCCATTGCTCGGTCACTGTGGCAATCCCTCTCGGCAGGGGTCTTCCTCTTACGCTGACCTTCCACCTTTCCCGGCATGATGTCCTTCTACAGGAACTGGCCTTTCCTAACAACATGCCCAAAGTATGTGAGACAAAGTTTCACCATCCTGGCTTCCAAGAAGCGCTCTGGTCTTACCTTCTCCAAGACACATCTCTGTTCTCTTGGCATTAATACGTGCGGTGGGTATAGGTGTATCATACCTCTATTCTCTGGGCAGTACGGTGGGTGGGTGGGTGTGTGTCTATGTACGTATATGTGTTGTCTATCAAGTCAGAACCAGCCACAGCTGACCCTCCAGCAGGATTTCAGAGGCAGTAAAAATCACGCAGGAGGAGACTGCCCATCTTTCTCCCGTGAAACAGCTGGTGGGTTTGAACCACATACCTTTGCACTGACAGGACAGCTCCTTACGAACTAAGGCACCAGCACTCCTTGGCACTAATGGAAACAGTGGTATTACTGTCTTTAGAATGAGCCCTCTATGTGTGGATATATGGACAGTCCTTGTACACGTGACTGCACACTGGAGAATGAACGAGTACTGCTGAGAGCAGAAGCGTGGTCTTCCGAGTACTGTCATGTTAGGAAAACCTGATCAGTCGGTGACCCCCATCAACGCTGCTGAGAGCAGAGAAGCAGAAACCACCACAGTGAAAATAGAAATTGTCTTCTCCTTTCTGGGCACCTGTGCTTTGACTCACTGGCACTCTGGCAGCCTAGTGGGTAAGAAGCTGTGCTGCCAAACCAAAGACAGGCACTTAGAATCCACCAGCAGCTCCCAGGGAGAGGTGGGCAGACTCCTCCCATGCGATTTAGACTCTAAATAAACTTGCTGTAGGGTCAGCTGGGCATCAGTTCAGACTCAACGGCACATACCCACCCCAGAGAAGGGGCTGTCACGTTGGGCCCTGCCCTGGGGGGACATGTGGGACAGGGAAGGATAGGTTTTCTTAGGTAAAGAAAGAACGAGACATTTTTCTCAGGCAGGAAGGGATATTGCTGGCTATGGGGGACCTCAAAACTGATCCCTTAAAGCTGCACTGGCCCAGCTGAAAGGTACTGCCCTTAATAGCTTAGTTTCATTTAAGAGTTTCTGTGTGCCACTCAAGCAGAGCTGACCCATGGGTGACCCTCCAGTGGGTTTTCAGAGGCTCTAATTTTCAGTGTGTAACTGCCCTTCTTTGTCCTGTGAGGCACCTGGTGCATTCAAACCACCTACCTTTGTGGTGGCAGTGCAACTCCTTACCCACTAGGCCACCAGAGCTCCTTTTTAAGTTGTTGTTATGTGCATCAAGTCAACTGTGACTCGTTGCAACCCTATGAACAGTGGCTCTGAACCCTCCCATCGCCACAGTCACTGTAAGTCCATCTTATCCAGGGTCTTCCTCTTCTGTGCTGACCCTCTACCTGTCATGTTCTCCTCCTCCATGGACTGGTCCCTCCTGGCAGCATGCCCAAAGTTCAAATCTACCACCTGTTCTGTGAGAGAAGGATGGGCAGTCTCCTCCTGTGAGAATTTGTTGTCTCTGAAAACCCACCAGAGGGTCAGCTATAGGTTGATTCAGAATGGAGGGTACACAACAATAGTGTTTCTTTGAATAGGTCTCCACATACTTACTCAGTAGGTTCAGCTGCAGGGCTGGCTTCTTTCATGAAAGCAGTTCTTCCACTTTGGTCGACTGTCGACTTGGTCCACTTCTTGGTAAACAGACTCTGAAGCTAGCTTCTGGAAATGTGACATTCCACACCCCACTGGACTGCTTGATAGCATCTCCAGCTCTCCTGGTGGGTGGGTTTGCAATCTGAGTTCCTGCTCCACTGACCTCACCACCTTCCCCCAGCTGTGTGTGTCCACGCAGCACCTGTCCTAAACAGTGCTGCTGTCCTTCGGTGCCATCGAGTCAGCGAGGCCTGACTGTGACCCTGCAAACAATGGATGTGAACCCTGCCCTAACAGTGCCATCCTCCTCCTTTGAAGGGTGTTCAGGCCCACTGTTACAGTCACTGTGTTAATCCGTCTCCTTGAGGTTGGTTTCCCTTTCTGCGACCCCCTACCTTTTCCAGCATGTCTTTTTTTCAAGGACTGGTCCTGCCTGACCACACTCCCTAAGTATGTGAGGCTGAGTTTCACCCTCCTTGTCTCTAAGGGCAGGTTCAATGGGCATTTCAGCCCCCGCGGCTGGTCCACACCCTCACCCTTCTACCTTATCTCGCGTGTCCCTCGGAGAAGTTGTGACTCTGCTGACCACCCTCCCAGTACAACCCTTTCCCTCGTGAAGGGCCTGAATGAAGCTCCCCAGCGTCCCCCATCCACAGGCACAACACTGGCTGAGCTTCCACTGGAAAACTAAGAGGCTCCAAGATTTCCACCCCGCCCTCCCCAACAACTTGTCGGCAAGTGCCAATTAAGCTGTGCAGAAGGCGTTTAGGAATTGTCTTAATGGCCTGCCTGTCCACCGGCACGCTGTGACGGGCGCACACGGGAGGCGCGCCCAGGAGCCAGTCTGCCTGCCAGTGGCCATTGTGTAAGTGCTCTGAGCTCAGCCTACTGGCCTGGGGCAGGGGTCCCCTTGAGGTCCCTGTGGAGTCCGACGGCCTGAGTGTGGAAGTAAATTAGCAAAAAAAACATTTTTAGAATCTAATGAGTGTGCTCTTCCTGCTGGGCAAGGGGCAGGATTTAGAGGAAAAGGGGAAGACCCTGACCGAGGTGGACGACACAGTGACTGTCATAGCGGGCTCGGGCATGTCCGAGATTGAGAGGACTGTGCAGGACCGGGCAGGGTTCAGCCCGACTGTTCAGAGGGTCTCACCTGACGACCGCTTCACCACAGCACACAGCGTGGGCACAGGAGACAGGGCTGACTGAGGCCTTCACTGCTTTTATTCAATGAGGTTTAGAACATGAAAGGCCCCAAACAAGCCGCACGTTTTAGGGACCCTCCCTCGGGCTCCTACAGGGAATATAAATTAACAAAGTCCGCGATGGCAAAGATGGCGTGGCGGGAGGTCGGCCCAAAACTGCCGGCTGGGCGTCGGCTGCACAGGTCATCCTGACGGCAGGCTTGGGAGAGGGTGACTCCGATCAGCGTCTTTCCGCAGTCTGAGTACACTCTTGCACACTCACTGTGTGCACACTCACACGCGTGCGCACACCACACCCTTACACGCAGGCCCCAGCTTCTATGAATAGAACCTGCTGTTGCTGACTCTCTTCTCTCTCAACCTGAAACACAACAGATCAGATCATCACCAAGACGCGCAAGAGGCAGGCAGCGCCGAGCTCTCCCCCCACTCCCGGCCCAGCCATCCGAAGGGCGTCCCTGGTGGACGGCACAGTGCCGAGTCCTGGCAAGAGAGTTAAGTTCTTTGGGCCCCAGTTTCCTTACTGCTAAAATGGGGTCATTTCTAATTGGGAGGATGGAGTTAAAACCAGGTGCTTGTGGAGTGTATGCCAACTCCCAGGTGACCCCACGTGAGCAGAGTAAGTCTGCTCCACGGGGCTTCTGTGACTTTTAGAAACAGACTGCCAGGCCTTTCTTCTGAGGTACCTCTAGGTGAGTTCAAACTGTCAGCCTCTGGATTACCAGCCAAGGGCTGAGCCGCTGCACTGTCCACGGACACAGGAGATGAAAGGGTAGGTGATGAGAGTAAACTCGGGAACTCAGCACTGCGTTTCTAACCTGGGCATCATCTTGGGGTTTCTGTCGGGGCTGATTCTTCACTGCATGGGACTGCCTGGCAGGGCATGAGGTGTCCCTCACTGCTGCCCAGTGCGTGCCGGCAACATAACCAGCACATCCTTGCACGTGCTCTAGGACTAGGGGTGGCGACAGCCATCATTCCTCGCCACCAGTACCCTGAAGTGTCCTGCTGGGAATGGCCGGTGGACTTGCAGAGGGAGCAGAGGTGACTCAAACGCAGCCCACCCCCAGCTCACAGCGCCCCTGCAGGACCGAGGTCAACTCGTGGGGTTTCCAACCGGAGCAGACTGCCACATCTTTGTCCCACGGAGGGCCTGTTAACTTTTGAGCTATCAAGCTTTTGGGCAGTAAGTGCCTAACCACTGTGCCACCAGGGTTCCACGAGACAAGGCTTACAGCCCACTGTGACTGGTGTAGGGAGATGCGCTGTTAACCCAAAGGCCATGCCACTCTGGCAGTTCAAATCCAGCAGGTCCCCTGAGGAAGAGGCAGCGACTTCCAGGGACTTAGAGGCTTCAACCTCACTGGGGGGGGGTGGGCCCCACTCAACTCCTGCTTCACACAGCATGAGATGAAAGGTGAGGGGCCTGCCCAGGGAGTGGTTCTGGCTGTAAAGACCCATCCCCTCTTCTCCTGAGAACAGAATAGCTCTGAACCAGCTGGCGGAGGAGAGCTTTGGTGCGAATGCCAATGGGTCATATAGGTCTGCTGGCCGAGGCAGCTCTTCCATGACAAGTGACTGTGGGCGGTGCGACTCAGAAGCCTGGCCCCAGGTGCCTGGTGCTGGCCGAGACCCCGCTGTGCAGGGCTGGGGGAGAAGGGCCACTCACCTGCGGTTGCACCTCTCCTGGTACAGCTGCAGCTGGTTCTCGTTGACATTGAACTCTTTCACCAGGGCATCCCGGTTCGCATTGCGCAAGTTCTGGTGAGTGTCGTATAGGAAGAGCTGGTTGTTGAGCTCCTCCTGCCGCCTCCGCAGCTGGCGACAGGATGAGTAAAGCTCCTCCTCGCTCTCCTGGAGGGTCAGAAGACATGGCATAGACCCTGGTGAGCACACTGACCAAACCAACTGCACTGCGCACGCGCCCCAGGAGGCGCGTCCCACCCAGGGGCTTCCCCGCCCACCACCCTGGACTCAGTTTCTCCATCCGGAGGCTGCTGTGTGTATCTTCATGGGAGGAAACTGCCCATCCTTCCCCTGAAGGGCAGCTGGTGGAGTCAAACAATAACGCACACAAAATATTAGCACAATGCACCTGGGATTCTCTAAGCGCCTGTTTTAACCAAAGATAAACTCGCAGTTATTTATGCTGATAGAAGGATGTTGCTTATTACTTATTCAAACACTGATGTATTGTACAACATGGAAGTGACCAATGCATTGTCCCCTGGTGCTGCCTGGCAATCACTTCACACTGTCGTTGGTCCACATTCACCTTCTCACCCTTATCCCCAAGGCTCCAAGCAGCAAATGCGGGCAAGAGCAGTATGATGCAGGGCAAAGACAGGTGGTTGGGAGGCAGGTCGCTTAGTCTCCTAAACCCTTAGACATCACCAAGACTTACTACATTGGGAAGGTCTGCTACAAAAGGCCTCGTTATGGTGTTAAAAACAGTGATGTCCTTCTAAATGAATCATGAAGGAGCCTGATGGCCTACTGGTAAGAAGCTGCACTGCAATCCCAAAGGCATGCAGTTCGAATCCACCAGCTGCTTCCCGGGAGAAGGCTGGCAGTCTCCTCCCATATGATTAACTGCCTCTGAAAACCTGCCAGAGGGTCAGCTGTGGGTCATTTCTGACTCTAAGGGACACAGCAACAAATAATGGAGTCACTGAAGTGAATTATGTTGATTTTACATTTATTAACTATCTCGTACATTCTTTTCCTCACTTAAACGTTTTAAAAAAACTCAGTGGATAGAAAGTTACGCTACCAAGCCAAAGGTGGGTGACTTTAATCTGCAGCCCTCAGGCCTGGTTTTGGTTTTGGCCATTCTTCTAAGTGGTGTATAGCACTGGTGTGCCAAATAGGATAATGGTTATCCCTGGTGGACAGTGTTCAGTGGAGCTCCCAGATTAAAATAGGCTTGGAAGCAGCAGTAGCAACCACTTCTAAAATAGCTTGCCCCAGGAATCTCTATGAACTTTGAGAAATGATGAAAGTTATACAAGTGTTCAGGTCTTTCGTTCATAGGGTTGCTATGAGTCATCTATGACTTGACATTACTTAACAACAGCTGTGATTTGGTTGAAAGAACAAATTGGTTTTCCAATCAACAATTCATACTTATTTTGATTGACAATATTATCTACAGTCCCTACAATGTAACCATACTGTTCCCACTTCTTTCCTATATAAACGGTTTCCATTTCTCCTTCCGGCTGTAGCTCCTTTTCTTAACTTTCTCCTTGAGCAAATTCTGCCCTTTGATCTCCTCTAGTTGGTTGTTCTGGGGAGTCTGTACCTCCCAGGTGCTATTTTTTTCACACACAAGACTACTGTTTGGCCCAAAGTTGAGCTGTGAGATGACTTAAAGGACGCTCCTTAGAGGCAGGGATGTCAGAGCTTCAGCTCACACACTTGGGGCGTGCGGTTAGGAAGGACAGGTCCTTGGAAAAGGTGAAGGTCGGCAAAGAGATGAAAACTGTCAGGCAGGTGGGATGACAGGGTGACTGTAAGTACGTCAGAGATGCTGAGGCTGGCCGGGTTAGGGTGACCAGGAGTTGCATTCAGCTCGATGGCATCTAATAACAAGGACCACAGCCTCAGAGGTTTGAAAACTTTGACTTTCTATTGAATTTTGCACCACATTTTTACCATTTCTAGCCAAGGCCGTGTATTGTGGTTCCTTGAACAGTCGCAGCTGGGCACCATCCAGGTCTTCTGGTGTGAGGGTCACGGAGGCAGGAGTCCGAGAGCTCCACGAGTTCTCTGTACTGTCTCCATGTGTCTTTGATTTTCTTCCTCCTCCTTTGTGCCAAACAGACACCTATGTCTGTTCAATTTTAAGACCTGGCCACTATTCACCAAAGTAGGAACTGATCATCGTCCATGTGGACCATGTTACCCCAGTCAACCCTGCGGCACTCCCAGACTCTTGAGCCCCAGCCTCTCATTCCCACGGGTCTTTTGTTATGGTTGAGAGGTTTCCATGGCTTTGTTCCCTGTTCCTCGACTCACAGAAGGACGTGCAGCACACAGAATGTGTCACACGTACACGTTCATGAGTGCAGGCCCATTCTCCTTCCCCCTGTAGTCCGGCTTCCCTCCACCTGTGCGTGCCCTCGTGAGGTGTTAGTACAACGTGTCCGAAGAATATTTACCTCTCTTGCCTTTAACTCGTGGGCTCCTCCCAGTGTATTCCTTTGCAGGGTCCTTCTGAGCCGACCTTCCCTGGCTGGCTGTCGTCTCACCCTTCATCCCTGTTAATATTAGCCGTTTCCCTTCCCCTCCTATCCCTGATTACCCTCAGAGGAGGTTTCTGTGAGTGAAGAACCTTTTCTTGAAATTTTCAGAGTAGCAGTTTGAGTCGTCTGCACTGTTCAGCACTTGTCCTTTTGTGACTAATTTCACTCGGCATAATGTCCTCCAGGTTAACTGATGTTATGAGGTGCTTCTAAGACGCTGTTGTTAATCTTTAACTTCGTGTAGTATTGCACTGTCCGCTTGGACTCAGTACAGCAGCCAGACCGTGACGACGGCCAGTCTCGTGCGGTGGGCCCTGGAGCTGCCATGACTGTAGCTGACTCCACAGAGCCGACTAATGCTGTGGACCACTGCTGCTTATCCACTCACCTGCTGCTGGACGCTTAGGTTGTTTTCCATCCTTTCACTATTGCAAATAATGCTGTCAGGAAATGGGTGCGTGTCTCTCTGTCCATGTCCTGGCTCTGACTGATCCAGGGTGTAGACCTAGGAGAGTGCTGCATCAGATGAGATTTCATTTTCCTATTATTTCTTGGCAATGAATATTTTGTTGGGTTTATTTTTTTAATTGTGATTTAGCAAAAGTTTACAGAAAGATTGGGTTTTCATTCATTCATTGTTGTGTTTTCCTCCCTTCTCCATTCCCCCCCTCCCTCCACTCCAGATTGTCAAACATAGAAATGCTGAATCATGCCTTCCTTTCAGACAGTTCTTCCCCTCATCTGTTCCACTGCAGTGTTCATTACCTATCCACTCTTCTCTTAGTCACTGTCCTATTATGTTCCACCGTGGAATGAACCTTTAGGACCAATGTTAAAAACTGTTATGGTTGTTAGGTGCTGTCGACCCTGTCCACTCCTGTGCCGTCCTCACCACCTCTGACAAGCTCGAGCCCGCTGCTGCAGTCATGGTGTTGATCTACCCGGTTGAGGCTCTCCTTCACTTCTCACCCTCCCCAGGGGATAGCCGCTCCTAGCCGTATGTCCGGAGCACGTGGCTGCTGCACCTTCCCCAGGGCCGCCGTGGTCAGTGTCCTCACGGAATGCTTCCATCTTCTGGGTTCCAGGGCTCAAGATGACAAGCCCAATGCGAAGACCAATCTGTAGTCTACGTAGTTAAACTTAGTTTGGTTTTGTACTTGCTGTTGGAATTCCTACAGATGTCTGAAGCCCTGACTAGGCTGTGGGGGTGCGCTTTCCATTCACTTACCCGGAACTCGGTAAATCCCAGGAACCCTTTCCTCATTTAGCTGTTCCAGTGCCAGCTCCGCCCCTCCTGCTCCACTGTGGGTTCCCTGGCTGGTTACTGGGTCGTCTGCATCGGACCCGAGTCTGCTGTTTCGGTTTCTAACTCAAGGTTGTTTTGCTCTAGATCTGGAGAGGTTTCTCCCCCCTCATTTTTGGGTCACAACATCTTTCACAGGTCATCCTCTTTGTTGAGGGTCTCAATTTTTAAATTCAAGAAATGTAACTGGAAGGCAAAAAACCTGGACTCCGTACTACATACAATAATTACAGCCTGGTCCTGGGATCTAAACAGCGGGACTTCTTCCATCACGAGTACCTTTTCCAGCATTTCGCTTGGATAGTCTTGGAAGTTCTTGGGCCTCGTTTGCCAGGGATCTCAGCTGAGGTGCCCAGCGGCTCTGTTTTCACTCCCTGTACCTGGTGTTCGCCTGATCTTGCTTCTGCTCGTTGCTCCGTAGTCGTGTGTTAGCTGGCATGCTCACAGCTCTGTCCGTTCGGTGGTCATGCTGGGTCTTAGGTGGAAGGCCCACCAGTTTCTTGTCACTGGGGCCAGCAACACTGGACAGACTTGAAAACCTGGAGCAAGCTGTTGAGGTGCAAGGAGAGCCTGTCTGTGCCTTGAGTCTCCCCAGGAATGAGGAAATCATGCCAACCCTGGAAACCAGGATCGGCTCAGCTCCAGAGTACAGAGCTCCCCTGTTCTGGTCCTACGGGGTTCTAAAAACATGGGCGGGAGCCCTGCTCCAAAGAAACTTCAGCATCCTGGTCATCCCTCTAGGCCCCGTGAGCCTTAGCTGCACTTAGCAGGTATGACGCTCGGTCCGTCCAGGGGCAGCTCACCTGGTGATAAAGGTGGATATTCAAGATGGAGGCTAGGATTTTGCAGCTCCGTCTCATATACTTCAGGCATGTGGCCGGGATGGACTGATCCTTGGAGAAGGACATCATGCTCGGAAGGCTGGAGGGACAGCGCAGGAGGGGGAGACCCCAGATGAGATGGATTGACTTGGTGACTGGGGCAGTGAGACTGGCTCAGGACAGGGCAGGCTTCAGAGCTATTGTACATAAGGGTCGCTAGGAGTCACTGGTGACTTGAAGGCACATAACCACTACCTCCTCACAGGTGTGCCAATCTGTGAGGCTGGCACAGGATAGGACAGGGTTCAGGTGTGTTCTTCAGAGGGTTGCTATGAACCTTACTTGACTCGATGGCACCTAACAACAACAGCATACTCATCTACAAAACTGTCCTCAACTTCACCAGTTGGTATTGGAATAGAGGGCCCTTATCAATGAATGGCAGTAACGGGCACAATAAATACATCAACTTATACGAAATTACTTATTCTCTGAAAAGTAATTGTCATGCATTAAAAAAACCCAAACCCTGAAAAACCCAGCTCTTCTGTCCCTTTGATCTGTTTTCCCCATTACTAAATATCTAGCCTCAGGATATCATTTTTAATCACAACACTGTTAAGTTACGTGACAACAATCATTATTTATAGTTTAAAACTGCAACCAGCTTAGCCATCCATCAGTGGACACCTGGCCAAGGAACGGGCAAGCATCCGCCTGCTAGGGGCGGCCTCGGGCTTGTTCTCAGTCATACAGCACCTGGGGAAATGCGGGACGCCATGTGTGAGCCTGCGAACAGGCACAGGGAGCCAACCATAAAATAGCATACACAAAGAGATGATGATGATGGTGCTGGAAAGCCCACACCGACCCCTGGTGAGATCAGACCCTCCCTGGACTGCGCCGGCCCTACGTCTCCGCCATGCTCCGAGTCCCTGCACCAATCCAGCTCGTTGAGAATCTTCCTCTTTCTTGCTGACCCTCTGGTTTTCAGCATGATGTCTTTTTCCAAGGAATTCTGACAACGTCCCCAAGGTTGTGAGGCAAGGTGTCACTATCCTTGTTTATAGGGAGACTCTCTGTTGCGTTTCCTCCAAGGCAGATTGGGTTTTGCTTTAGGCGTCTGTAGGATTCAACGCTCTTCTCTTCGCCACCACCACAATTCAAAGGCTTTTTTAGTCATGGTGCTCATAGTGACGGTGCGTCTTTGGCTTCAGGGAACATCTCTTCCTCACCTACTTCTTCAGGAGTCCTGGTGGGCAGAGTATAAACGTGTTTGGTCTGCTCACCAAACGGCTGGTGGTTTAATCCGCCAGCTGCTCCTCAGGGGAAAGGTGGGCGTCTCCTCCCTTAGATTTACAGCCTCAGAAATCTGATGGGGGGTCGCCGTCAGGCCTGACTGGACCACAGTGTGTCCTGTGGACACTCTCAAGTGAGAAAGAGTAGGTGATGCAGTGCCATGAACTCCACAGAGCATAGCGACAGCTCGCCACGTCAAGGACTAGAGACTGAGAGAGTCACTGTGCCACGTACATTCCTCCACGAGAAGGGGTGGCAAGTATTGGCTGACAATCCTGTGACACTTCACAGGCAATCTCAGCAAGTGACCTGTGAGTCATCACCATCTGGGCCTCGACCGGATCAGTTATGGCAGGGGCAGGTCTGTGCTGAGCCTCCGTGGCACCCCAGGAACACAGTCCTGATGAAAGCGGAGTGTGACCCTGCTGTAGAGCTAAAGGAACCCAGACTGTCCAAACATAAGGCAGCGTGGTTCCTGGGAGACCTCCAGGAATGGCCAGAACCCCCAGACAAATGTGAAATTAGATGACATTTCTACAGGCAGCAGCTGAGCTGAGAAGCACACAAACGCAAATCCTCCACTCAAACATTTCTGAAAGCAGAGAGTGAAAGTGGAGGTTCCGGTTGGAACCACATTCAACGCCCCCCACTCCCTACACGCTCACACCCTCCCTAAGGTAGAGTTGCCAACAACCGCCAAAGCATTAAGCTTCCCTCACCAAGAAGTCGGATCTGGGTAAGCACAATTTTCTCTGAGATTGTTTTCTTCGGCCACCAGGGATGCCTAATGATAGAAATTCTTTCTAATGTTGCCAGGTTGTTTGTGACAGCGACACAGGGTAGTAGTCAGACACTCTCTTCTCACCACCTGAAGCCAGTTTTCTCACATTTTTCTCTGAAGTGTCTGCAAAGGGGTGTGTGTCAGAGAAGCGAGGCTTCCCTCTCCTGGTCCACTGAGCAGAAGGCCGCCTTGCCTGCCTATCCCAAGCTTCCAATGAAGCTCAGATGTTGCCATTCTACCATCTCATTAAACTAACTGATCCCACTGATTCTGACTCAGAGGAGGAGAAGGAGGGCCCTGGAAGCTAAGTCAGGACAGCCTTCCTTGTAAAAGAATCCCATCAATATGCCCAACTCCAGGGGAATGGCTAATCTAGGGTCCACTCATTTAATAGAAGAGTCTGCAGCCATTTAAATGCTAAGGAAGATTAGACCAATGAATGCAATTTGGATCTCATCTCACTTGAAGGCAGCAGTTCTCAGGGATGATCTGACAATCTCCGGAGGTGGGTTTCACTGATGAGGGGATGCTACTGACACCTAGTAGTTCAAAGCCAGGGATGCGGCTGCATTGTCCCAGATAGAATTATCCGCACCACAGTGTCACAAATGCAAAGTGAAAAAAAGATGCAAATAATATTTGTAGTATTATTATTACACCAATAGGAAGGGAGGAAGGAAGACACACATCTAAGAAGGATTTGGAAGGGGAGGAAAAAGACCTAAATAATTTTATCAACGCCCCTAATTACAGGACACTTTCCACAGACTCTGAGCTGTGTTTTCGTTTCTTACCATTTGCAAAAAATATATTCAGGCTTAACTCTCTTAATGAACTTACCACCCTCAAACCAGCGTCATTAACTGCTATATTGGAAAGTACGCAGTTCCTTCTAAAGAGGTGACTAAGTAGACTTGGGCCATCCCATCAAGGATGGATGGACGGCCTCAGTTGCCCTGGAGAGAAGGTGGCTTTTGGGCCATGCCTTTCAGATGCAGGCGACAGACTTTTCAAACATAAGCATTATATTCATTTTCTGAGTCTGAACCACTAGCATTTAAAATTTTTTTCACTGGAGAGCTCCTTGATCTTTTGAGGCTGAATTTAGCTGGCTGTCCCTGGCTGGGTGTGGGACATGGTATGTTTGGGCCCAGTGACTGTGTCTTGTGTCTCTGTGTCCTGCTTTGCTTGCTTGTACTGTAATCTGAGTGAAAGGAGATTGTTTTTCATCCACATGCATCCTGTATTATAACATAATGGTGAGACTCCGAGTCCTCTCACACTTCTCCCACTTCCTCCTTGCTAGTCTCAGCTCCATCAATCCTCTTACCCTTACCCGTCAGGACTGTATCCTTGGAAAAAAGCTGCTCTTCTGACCTTATAAGTACTGGGTATTCTAAGGAACAAGTGTCTCCCAATGTTACTGGTTCACTCATAGGGAACGATAGTTCCACTGTTTGGCTACAAGTTGAGTGGGGGTGACTCAGGAGATCCATTAGCCTCTACCATATCAGAAAACCTGGTCTTTTTAATCTTTTCATTTCCTTCCAAATTTTCCCTCCAATCTGTTGAGGATCTTCCACTGTAATCAGCCCTTTGAGGGTGACCAGCAGTGGGAGCTGGGCACCATCCAGTTCTTCTGGTCTCAGGGTTCCTTAGTTCTTTTAGACTAACTGTCACAGTACATCTTTCATTATTTTTGTCCCCTCTTTAGAAGCACTGTGATGCTCCTAAAATGCTTTGAGGTAAAAAAACTTACCAAGTTTGCAAAAATTGCATGTAAGGCAAATAGTTATGCAGAAAAAGTCTAAAGTTCTCTATCAGTTTTTGCTGCGGTTAAAAATCCATCACATCCCTAGCATTTGCCTGCCACTTCAGAGGGTCTCGACTCTATTCTGGAAGTTGCCAAATAAACCACTCCCAATAACTGTGCAGTAATCCTCCAGAGAACAAACACGACTGGGACTTTTTTCTCCATCCAGAAAACACCACACCTACCTGGGGGCACTGGTCAAGCACAGGTCAGCCCTTTGAAGTGTAAGATAACTGAAATGACGCAGAGCTTTTGTACTGGGAAGGAGAACCATGCTGACGGCTCATCGTTGCTACCCCTGTCTGAATCCAACAGGCAGTAGATATGGTTGCTGGGCAACCACGTGCATTGCTCTTATCGATCATAATTGAGCTATTCTGAATTAGAATCTGTTCAGAGCCCTGCGAGAACGGTACAAATAGCCAGATTTCCTATGACCATCTATTCTATTCATCTACTGATCAGTACTGCTCACATCTTGCTACTGGGTTCTTGACCCACTGTCTTGAGTAACTGTATCTCATCTTTAATAATCCAGTTATTTCCCCCTAAGTCTACCAGACTGGTCAGTCAACAAGGTATCATCACATCCCTTTCTAATAAACTGGCAGCAAGGACCAAGGAGGATGGCTCCTCCAGGAGCAGAGGGGTGCGTCACCTGCTATAGGAAGTTAAGATTCAGACATTTCCTTCATGGGGAAGATTAGACCCTCTTCGTATGGCCTGGGACCACTGCCCAGGAAGAAGGCACATACCCAGGAAAACACTGTCCAACTGGGTTCTCACCGAGATGAAACTAGGAGTCCTTCCACCTACAGAGCCTACTGCTCGCAGAACTGGAGAGCCTTCTGGAGGGGAAAATGGAGAAGGACCTCTGGGAATTCTGTTAGGATGTCTCAGGCCGAGGCTCAAGCTTACCAGGCCCAGCTTTCCCGCTCACCATTCCCATCCCTGGAAGACAGCACTCCATCCACTCACCAGGACTGGTCTCATTTCACAGAAAACCAGGAGGGATGCCAGTTCCATGTCTTCACTGTACCCGTTCTTGAGAGGAACCGACCTAAATCCTGCAGCCAGAATGGGAAAAACAATACAAAAAGGTCATTAATGTCAGACCGTGGTTGACTTGAGCTAACACACAGGCATCACATGCCAAGTTCCAGGAGCCTAGAGGTCCCGGTCTGATGGTTAGAGAGAGGAATTTAGCTCAGAGAGGTCCATCCTGGGAGATAAAGAAAAAACAGTATCTGCCATTTTAAACAGAATTAACCCAAAGCCACAGACAGACCCTTCCACACTGACTGCAGAGCCCTGACTCCAGAGGACCCAGTGCACTATGGGACCCTCACATCACTTCCTCCACTTTGGCCTCTCCAGAGCAGGCGACGCTGCAGTGTGCGTCCAGAGGAGTGGGGTCATCTTGCTTCGAAAGCTGTTCTCTAGGGCAGTTAAGGCTTGGGTTTAATGGTCATTTAAGTGCTTCAGTTTTCTTTGGGAATAAAAAAATCTTCCCACCCACCCTCAACTCAGCACCGTTGTTACTGACAACCACAGAGTCAGAACCAACCCATAGCTGACTCTCTGGTGGGTTTTCAGAGGCAGTTAATCTCACGGGAAGAGATTGCCCGTCCTTCTCCCATGGAGCAACTGGTGGCCTCAAACTATGTGCCTTTGGGATTGCAACATGGCTCCTTGCCACTAGGCCACCAGAGCTCCCAGACGGCATTAAGCAATGTATTTATTTCTTTGCTTATTTTCATTCAGTGGTTTAAGCAGCTACCCAGAGTACTTGACCCTGTGCCATCCAAATCGGTCTCTCAAGAGCTTGTTATACTTGGATTGAGACTGGTGCCTCTCCACAGTGCTGGCACGGAGGGGCACCAGTCTCAATCCGTTACATAACACAGCATCTGCCATTGTTATGTGTACAACCACCAGCCTGATCCATTTCCAAACTTTTAATCACCTTTCACAGAAACTCTGTAGCCCTTCAGCAATACGTTTCCACTTCCACTCCCATTCGCCTTCCAGCCGTGCACGAGTGTTCAATCTCCCCACATCCTCTCCAACGTTTATTGCTTGCTGTCCTACTCAACTCTGCAACTGCTGCTGTGGTGAGATGGTTCCTTGCGATGAATCAGGTCGCTTGTTCTTAGGAATCCCACTTGGTCGTATGAATTATTTTTTTTAAATACTGTTGGATTCTTTTGACCAAGATTTTGTTAAAAGATTTTTGCATGTATATTCATAAGAGATACTCGTCTGTAGTTTTCTTTTTTGGGTTATGCTTCCTTCATAAAATGAGAGTGTTTCTTCTTTATTTTTTGAAATAGACTTAAGTAGACTGATAGTTTGTCTCTGAATGTTTGGTCATCAGCTTGACTTCTTCAAAATGGGTACAAAGACAGATCTCGTGTAGCCACTTGACCACAGAGCTGGTGTCCCAATTTCCTGACATAGACAGAAGCTGTGGCACTGATGACCTGGCAGAATGTGAGGTGATCTGGGGTATTTAGAGTATGTCCCCAATCACGTGGTTTTGTCTGACACTCAGGTCTCCGCACTCAGAGGTGTTACCTGAGTTCCACCCACCCTGCCAGGTGTCCCAGCCCCGTGCACTTCCTCCCGCCACGCATGGCTCTCTCTTCGACACTGAGCAACCCTTCATGGGGTTGGGGTGAAATAGTTTGATTCTGGAGCATTTTGTCAAGGCCAAGTTACTATCACGTGCAATCAACCCCTGTGAAGTTTACAATTTAGTGACACTTTGTACATTCACAAATGCGTACATTTATATTTGCAGACACCACAGTAAAGCCACATTTCAGCACCCCAAAAAAGGCAACCACATGCATTTGTCACCTCATGTTCCCCCTTCCAAATACTAACCTGCTTTCAGTCTCTATGGATTTGTTGATTCTGGATTTTCAGTCATGATATATATATCTCTTATATATATATATGAGATACATACATAGGTATGAGAGCTATATCTATATATTTATCATAATAGTCACATGATCTCCTCCCCGTCTGTCAGGTTCCATCACACTATTTCTCATAGCAAGCCGGTGACTTTGATCAGAACTTGACCTGTCCTGTAACATCCTCCCCTCTAAGGAACACCTGGTTGTACTTCCTCCAGTACAGATGTTTGTTTGTGGGGTACTCAGCACTGTTCATCACCACCCCATTCTTTGACTGAGCACAGCATTCCAAAGTCCACCTATGTTCCAGAACGATTCAGCCCGTCCTTTTTTATGGGGTGGGGACAGTCCACTTTTATTCTTGCTCTGGCTGTTTTCCCAGGGGACAGGGAAATGATGGTGTGTTTTAAAGCCCGGCCAGGGCTTTACTTCCCCGGATGCGACGGGAGGCCTCACTGAGGGTGGCCAGTCAGATACTGTGGGGTTTGAATCCCACCTTTGGTCTCACCAGAACTGTCACTCTGAGCAAGGTTGTTAAGAACACTACACCGCAAAATGCTCCTATTTTACAAGCGGATATGATAAAAGCCTCATTCCTAGAAATGCAGTAAAGACTAAAAAGGTTTAAGACTGTCCTTAGAAAAAAGTGACATGCTCGGGAACGAAGAGACTCAATGTAGTGACTGCAAGAACAGGGTGAGGTTCGTGGGGTTGCTAGGAGCTGTGGCAGACTCGACAACACGAAAACCAAGAACAAAAACACCTTCCTGATTTGCAGAGTAGGATGCTACACGGAGCCTTCTTGGCACAGTGGTTAAGCACAAGCTGTTAACTCAAATGTCAGCAGTTCAAACACTCAGTGACAGAGAGGAAGACCCTCCAATAGAAGGAGACTGACGCGGGGATTACGAGATGGCACAAGAAATCCATTGTACACAGGGTCACCACAAGTCATGGCTGACTCAAGGACAACTAGCGAGAGAATGACCAGTCCACCGTCACTGTGTCGGCGTGCTGCTGTGGCGACCTGGGCGGGGCGCTGATGCTGGAAGCTAGGCCGTCTATCTATCTATATTTTAATTAATTTCTTACTGGATCCTTTGTTCATATTGATAAAAAGATATGACTGCTACCTGTAAGAAACTCTTGGAACAAGCAGCCGGACTCTCACCCCATCCAGTGCCATCTTCGATCTCTGGCTGACTCGAGCCCATCTTTGCAGTCACTAGGTGAGTCCATCCCATCATGATTTTTTTTTCCTCATGGACTAATTTTGACAACATGCTGAAAGTATGGGACATCAGGCCGCTTGTATTTTAAATACAACGAGGTGACCCTTTTCAGCACAGTTTCCAGACCATGACGGACTGGGAAGTAGGGCCTGAGGGCATTGTCCTGGAACAAATGGCCGGTGAAAGCCTCATGGACAGCAGCGGGCACGGTCTAATTTGGGGCCAGAGAGGAGGCTCTCAGGTTGGGAGACACTCCCTCTCCCACTTGGCTGGAGCTTCCCCAGCTGAAGAGACCACGAATCAGCACATGAAGTGCACAGAACATGAGTCAAGGGATCTGGAAACTGATGAAGCAGAAGGCAACATAGCAATATTCTGCTGCTCCTCCCCGGTCTTTCAGTGGCTCGGTTCAGAAATAAGCGGCCAGACCTGCTTCCTCTCCTCTCAGCCTGGAGGCCCTACTTCCCACAGGTAATCGGAATGTCAAGGTTGGCAGCAAAGGAGGAGCGCAAGTCAGAAAAATATGGACGTGGTGAAAAATAGAGTAAGGTGTAACGTGACAGAATTTCCTACTGCCAACGATGTGTTCTGTGCAAAAGCCATTAAAAAAACAAAAAAATAAAAACAACAAAACACCACCGTGATTGTGTATGTGTTGTTGTTTAGACATTGACTACAACTCACAGCCACTCTGAACAACAGATCTGAACCTCACGCCATCCTCAGCGACACTATGTATGTGAACCCGGCCAGATGGAACAAGCAGAATCAGGATGGCTACGGACAGCTCAGTATCGTCAGAACAGGCCGGGGCTGACTGGGAAACAGGGCAGCTGCTCATATGCAAGCTGAAGCTAACAAAGAGCCTAAGTCCACAAGAGCCCAAACGCAACCTTGCCGGTGCTGCATCTGAACGTAGAGACCGTCTCAAGAACAGATCTGATCCACTGGACGCGAATACAGACCAGCGGTGTTGCTGGAAGGTACCACGCACGAAGCAGGCTAAAGGTCAGGACCAGAGAGAAGAGATGCCGGCACCTGGTCTTCCTGCCGAAATGAGCAGAGAGAAACTACAGCGAAGGTCAGAAATGAAGAGGGCGGAACAGAAGGTTCAGAGGGCAGCTCCAGAAGACAAGGCAAAAGACAACCCATTTTTCTCAAGGCTGTCTCACGGTCGGATCACACAGCAGCCCACCTTCCCGGAGTGCTCAGAGACAGGCTGTCAACTGACCTGGCCAGGGGTGACCATGAGGAGACCAGCACCCCACGCATCCTCGAGATTTCACTAACTCCTGGGAAAGGTGAGTCATGGGTTCAACTGTGTTCCCTTCCAAAATACATGTGTGGAATGAGGGAACATGGCAACTGCACAGAGAATGATCCCTCATGATCAGATAAACCAAACAGGATTAAGGGTGTAATTCAACATGAGGACACATGAAAGGTGTTTCTGGGGTCTTGTCACACTTTTTGTTGGAGATGAAAGGGCAGGACAGTCAGCAGAGAGGGGGTCTCAGTACCAGGAAGCTCGGGACATGGAGGTCTCCTCCAGAACCAACACGGACCAAGGTCTCGCCCCAGAGCTGCACCCCGAGTTAGACTTCTAATGTACTTACTCTGAGGGGGACTCTCTCTTGGTTCTCTCAATCTGTATCCGACACCACATGTGGATGGCTCTGACCATGCCTTTGGCATGTGTTCAAACCAGCAGTTCCCCGCCCCAGAATGGAACAAACCCACGTGAAGCCGCTTACCTGAACGGATCCCTTTGATGGGGTAAGTGGCGTGGGCGAGGAAGTTGGGGTCACTGAATATGTCTTCCTCATAAACCACAAAGCGCAGGAAGGCGAGGTTGGGGTCGTAGATTTCAAACGTCACTTTCTCTTGCGTTGGAGCCCACACAGGATTTAAGCCATTATCATCTGGGGAATGATCAGAGCTCATGAAAGGCCAGGTCTGCCCTGCATCCTTCCTGACCTTCTAACAACTGTGACACCAGTGAGTGTACAGAGCAAACTGCCTTTCAACAATTCCTGCACACGGTGTTCCATGACCTGGGTTAGAGCACCCACCTGTGACTGCACTCTTCCCACTCCCTCCCACTCATACCCGTCCTGCCTTTGACCAGGAAAATGCTGCCCTTCCGCCCTTTCAGCCTAGTTGCCATCAACTCCAGCAGACACTGTGTGTCAGAGCAGAGCCATGCTCGCTTCCCACGATCGTCAGGGACTGACAGCTGGAGAACAGCTGACTCCTGACTACTAGGTTTGACCTTGGTGTAAACGTAAGAGTTCTGTGTTTCCCACTGTGGTAAACACACATGTGACCATCTCCAGATGAACAGTCCTCTCTAGTACCTGTGTGGGGTTGAGTCTGATGGTGTTCAAAGGTCAACTCTGAATTACACTTGAACTCCGACCTGCCTGGGAGGTCAGCCCTCCTCACCCCCACACTGTCCCACAGTCCATGCAGCGAGCCTTTGCTTTAAGTTTGCCATTGAGCAAGCGGACCATTTGCCCCATCCAGGGCCTCCTGGATCATTTAGCAACGTGTAAGTAAACGCGCATCTTTATCAAATATGAGACATGCTGTGGCCAGCCCGGGCTTCACACAGGAAGAGGTCAGCCCCTGTCCCTCGACACCCCGCCCCTCCCCAGTATGACTGGCCTGAGCCGCCCCTCGCGGGTCTCAGCTCAGATGTGTGCAGCAGGCAGGGGAGCCCAGCATCCTGGTCTTGCTGGGATTCCAGCCCCACATTAAATGTCTCTTTGGTTTCCTCTCCTAAGTTGAACCCCAGCCACAAGTCAGCCTCCTTGACCCCAGAAAGGACCACTTACTCACAACAGTCGTCTTAAACTTGTTGTTGTCGTACTCGGCTCCACAGATCTCCACCTCCACAAAGGGGCAGGCGATGCTCCGGCCGAGCTTGGGGAGGTGCCGGGCACCGAGGACCTTGGAAATCAGAGGGCAGTGCTGAGAACTAGGAGTGAAGACACCCACCACTGCTGTGGGGGAGGATCAGGGGGCGGCATCATTTCTTCAGAGCCTGGTCTACATGTCAAGACTCCTCTATTTAGATCCCATCAGAGACTGACGTGTATTCCCACAGAGTAAGTGTCAGCTGCGTCCGGAGGCTCCTTGTTCCACTGTAAGAGGAGTGGGGTGGCATGCCCTGATCTGAGACCAGAGAAGAGGAGCTTCCCTGGAACGAAGCCCTGGGATCCCTGTGCTAAGTCCTTCTAGACCCAAGAGACACTGCAAGAAGGCCTCCCCCAGAACTCTAAGTCTGCATTCTTGCTGCCTCTAGTGTGAGAAAATAAATGTGCACTTGTTTGAACCCCACTTATGGTATTTCTGTTTAGCGGCCCTAGATAACAGAGCCGTACTAAGAGGAAAGCAGAAAGAATACGCCCTGTTTAAGATGCACACTTCACTCCTCCACCTCATTTTGTTTTTCACAAGAAAACTGTTGCCAAGACAACACATTCTGTGGAAGGTGGATGAATTAAGAAAACTCGGGGGATTAGAGTTTGGACAGTGCTGGGGCAAAGTCCAGGTGGCTGTTCTGACCAGTGGGAAATACTGGCCTCCCCCTAGACAAAAGGGGACCAATGCGGGCTTGGAAAGGAGTCCCCTCCCTCCTCCTCTTCTCCCGAGTGACTCTGGAGGGAGTGCCCTGCAGCACAGATCCTCGCCCCTTCCTGGTGGTGCCGAGGGTTGAGCCCCTCCCCCACAGCAGGGAGGTGAGGGAGGACGGGGCTCACCTTGACCGTCAGAGTCATCAGGATCTTCCTCTGGGGCTCGGGTGGCACTGGGTCGTACCTGTCCGTCCTCATGCTCTCCGGCTGCAGGACGTAGCCCGTGCCCCCGTTGAGGGAGAACAGGGCGTGATTCATCTGCATGTATTTATCTAGGAGGGAAAGCAAGCCCCAGCGGTTAGCCACAGAGACACTGGGCTCCCAGGATGCGTGGTGATTTATACCTGTTCCCCCACCAGAAATAAACTGGGTAGCTGTTAAGATCATTTCTGGCTGCAGGAAGATACGGGCTTTTTGGGATCGTCATAAAGACCCACGTGACAGGTAGAAAATAGTCACATGCAGGGGATGCCTCTCTAAGGCCGTCAAAGCATTCACGCGCACTGCAGGGAGGAAAACCATCTCCCCCTGAGGGACAGGCAGAAAGTGAAGTTCTGCCAGAGGCGGCCTGTTGGAAACTATTCCAGTCTGCATTCGCATCAGGATCTCTACGGAGGCACGCTGGGCACAGGTGACCCCAAAGTAAATGTGTGTGCTGTCTGAACCTCCATACACGTTGGGGGGACCTATCCCCCACATATCTCCTACAACCTGGAAGAGGTGGGTACACACCTCCGCTTACAGAGGGCAGCGCCACTGTGATGGGCATGAATGCATGGGAGCCAACAGCAGACCTGTTACATGAATGAAGGCTCCAGTCCAGGGCCTGCTACGCAGACACACCGCAGAAGCACTCCAGCTGCAGTCCCAGACCACTGCAATCAAGCAAGTCACTATTTTTTGTCTCCCAGGGCGTAGGAAAGTCATGTTGATGCGATGCTAGAGCCCATTCCGTTTGCAACAGCAGGATAAAAAGGCCGGAATGTTGCAATAACCACCGATTATGAGCCAGAAGCATGAGAAAAGGTCCCTATAGACTTTCCTGATGCAGTGTTGCCACAAAACATTTTTTTTAAAGTAGATTCTCTAGGAAGTACAATTAAACAAGGCATGCTTGTAAGACTCCCGAGAGATGCTTAAATAACAAAAATGCAAAGCAGTGTGGTTTATGCTGTCAGTGATTTGAGAGGTCTTTTTCCCAGTGTGTACATGTCTCTGTACACCGTGGTGCAATGTGGAGAGAGGCCCGCAGCCAGCCACAAACAGCCAGATTCAGCAGTGCCTGAAGCGAAGCATTGTCACCTGAGGAAAAAGCACGGCCTTTTCCTCTTAGGCCAGACTAACTCAGCTTCTGTCATCTCCCGTCATGAAATCGGCCTAGTACCAGCGTCCACTGCCAGGGACGCCCACGGCTCCTCGCCACCTGCCTTCCATCAGTGGGCCCCAGTCTACCATTCTGGGACAGGACACCTGCCACCCCGCTGGCTCTGTCCAGGGCGGCTCAGGGTCACTGGAGCCGGAGTGACTGTCGGTCCCGTTACCTGGCGTCTGGAAGTTGAGCGCCACCATCTGGGAGCCACACAGCCAGAGGCGGAAGGGGTCGTAGTTGGAAGAGTCCACCCTCTGTCCCTTGGGGTAGACGCGGGTCAGGCCCTTCTGATTGTACTTGAGCAGCTCGACGGGCTTCTGTCTGACGATGCTGTCGGCCTTGGTCTCCACGAAGGAGCGGATCTCCCGGAAGTCGGGGTTTTCTGCACACAGAAGGGGCAGTCAGCACCTGGTTTGTGTCCTGTTACATAATCTGACCAACAGTCAGATGTAGGGACTTCGAGCTGTGGGTATTGCCCTGTTCCTCCCGTGGATTCTGGCCTTTCGGGGTCCCAGGTACTAGGTCTCCAGTAGAAGGGGGCCCAGTTTGCTCAGAACCATTTAAACCCACTGACACTGAGTTCTGACTCACAGCAACCCTCCATTGGGCTGTAGAGACTGCCTGTCTTTCTCCCTCTGAAGGTTTGGTGGATTCAAACCATTGACCTTGGGGTGGCAGCTCAACACTTTGCGCACTGTACCACCAGGGGTCCCTCCACAGGGGTCCAGCATTATTTTTGTGTGTGCTTAAAACTGTCAAGTCTTCAAGAGGGCAGGATGGTCTCGGGTAAAGAGGGTCTGAGGTTTTAGGGGGAAAGGCACAACAGATACAGGATCTTCAATGGAGGATGCAAGTCGCCTAGATGTGAGTCAGGTGATGCGGCGGGGAAGGTAAGAGGGGAGCGGGCGCCGAGGCTCCCTGATGAAGGTGTTTCCCCGACTCAGCCTGGGGAAGACAGCCAAGCAATAAACAGCCAGGCTGGGCGCGGTTCCGACCTCTGGTCACTCCCCTGGGATGTATCAGTACCCAGGGGCCTCCCTTTCCCACGTGGCTCTGGACTTAGTACTTTCGCCTCTGTCCCAGGACCAGAGACCCTTGAGATCAAAGATAAGGAGTTCCTTAAAAATCCCAAAGAAAGGGGAAACGGATATGAACAACCTCCCTGTGCTCTCCGGGGCAGTGAGCTCAGTGGGAGAATCTGATGGAAGAAGAGCCGTTTCCTCAGTCCTTCAGTGGTCAGCTGAATAATAGCCCTGAGAATCTGGGACCTGCCACTTTATGCTGGGGACATGCAGATGTGTTTAATTCAAGGAGCCTGGATTACAGGGTGGCCCTGGATGTAAGAGGAGGAAGAGCTGACTGTGAAGCGGGGAGAAGGCCGACTTGAGCGATGCAGCCATGAGCCACAGCATGCTGGCAGAACTGGGAGAGATAGGGGACAGGTCCTCCCAGGGCCAATCGGGAGAGCGTGGCCTGGCCAGCACCTTCATTCTGGACCAGTGACACAGTCTCTATTTCTGACCTCCAGAACTGAGAATAAACATGTGTTGTTTGAAGCCACCAAGTCCATGGGCACTTTGTACAGCAGCCGCAGGAGGCCAGGCCTTTGCACTGGTTTCAGTCATAGGCAGTGACCTGAATTTCTAAAACTGGGCAAAGGAAAAGGGGGCAGGGGGTATTCATTTGCAGGCCTGGAATGGGGGCCTCAAAAAAGGCACATTAAGTGCTTTCTAGGACACCTGATCAAGTAGCACAGGACAGCAACACACCACTGTCCAGCCATGTTTGCTCTGGTGTCACTCCTCAGACACAGTGAACTGGGATCAGGCATCCACCCTCTAAGTGGCTTTGCTGAGGGGCTGTGTCACTGTCACCCTTGTCCCAAGGCTCCTGCCTGGAGCACTCACACCCCCAGGTGGCCTCCTAGACCCCATCGGGCCCTGAGAGAAAAGTTCTCGCCCCTTCCAGGAGGGAGACCAGACCGCATGGCGGGAGGACATTACCTAAATTGTCCTTGGTCTTGCTGGTGGGCTTGCAGTAGACCACCAGGTCGGAGAGCTCGATGGCGATCGACTGGTTCTTCTCCCAGTACTTCATGTTGTTCTCCTGTGGGGTCAACCGTCCGGCCGCAGCCTCAGCCTCTGCCTCGCAGGCCTGAGGTCCCTCTGTGACCTCCTCCCCGCCGCCACCCAGGCCTTTCTGTTCTCTGCCAACATCCAGACAGGCTCTTCCCACCTCTCAAATACAGATGATTAAAAACGAAACACGGCGTCAGTGAGTCCATTCACATTTCCCAGGCTGTAAATCTTTACGAGAAGATTGACCATCTTTCTCCCTCGGAGTGGCTGGTGGATTCGAACCACTGACTCCAACAACCAGAAGTACAATGTGACATGCCACATCACCGAGGCGCCTGCCTTCGTCCCAGCCCTCTCTGGCCCCAAACCTCACAATGAGTCTTAGAATCTAGTTCCCCAAGTTCCTAGAGCCTGCAGCTCACAGCACCTGTCCACTCACGTCCGCTACCCTGTCCATCACGCTCTGTCCCGGGATCTCAGGGACCGAGGGAACTTTCCACTGTCAATTCTAGCTCCCCCAGCCATATTACTCACTGCAGGCTCCCCAAATCCTGACATTCTCTCTCTCCAGCTGTGACGGGATCATGAGAGAACAGGGTGGACAGCACTGGATGCACTCTGTACCTGTCTATATCCGGGATCCTGCATCCTCAGTGCCTCATGGGTAATTATTTACATTTGACAGCACATCCCTGACAGGTCAGCTCTGCCTCCCCCTTCACAGAGGAATTCCATTGCCTTCCCCAGGCTCCACAATGGGACAGGGACATGGCCAGATGGCCCAGGTGCTGAGCCCGACCCCAGGTACCACTCTAACTTGCCCCAACACGCCATTGCCCACTCTGAGCCCCCTATACCAGCCCCACGGTATATGCCCGGGTCCCTCCAGGTCCTAACAAGCTCCTCCCTCATTGCCCACCCCCCACTATCGGACCACCTGGTCAATCTCCTCCTAGAACGGCCCCAATCCACCCTCAGTGGGGACTGTTGTGACCAGTACTGGGAAGGGAGGTGGCCTGCCTCACCCTCACTCTGCTTGGGGGGTGGGGGGTGGCCTTGTCCACTATCTGACATCACAGTCCCTCGATGCCACCCAGATCTGCTCCCCCCACCCCCGACAGCAGGCCGTGGAGATGGCAGTACCCAGAAAGGGGAAACAAGTTGAAGATATGCGCTCAAACCCTGCCTGCTAGTCACTGGAGGTGGCAGTCAGGCAAGTGCCAGCCTGTGTCTCTGCCTCAGTTTCCTCAGCCATAAAATGAGATAGCCCTACCTCCAGTGGATGTCCCTAGCACCCAGCGGACCCTCACCAAGTGACAGCCACTCGGGTGGCCCTGGGAGATGCCTCCCTATGCAAAGCTGGAGACACCCCTCCCAGGCACCAGGTAGCTGAAGCCACCTCATTTCTAGAAGCTTGCCTCCACCCACAAATACCTCCACAGTTGCCCAGGATGAAATGTTGCCAAGTCAGCTCCATTCATGGTGACCCCCACATGTGTCAGGTACAGCTGCCCTCCAGAGAGCGTGCGCTGGGCCTTTGTTCTGAGGCGCCTCTAGGTAGACTCAAACCTCTCACCTTTCGATTAACTGAGCATGTTAACCATCTGTAGCACCCATGGACTCTAACCTAACCCCTGAGGCCAGACAGGAAGACCGTGGCAATGGCCAGCTAAAAGGCCTGGAACCTGAGCCCCACCAGCGATCACTTCACTGACACAGCCCTGGATGTGGCCACATCAAAGCACACCCACTCCTCCAGCCAAGCAGACAACAGCAAAACGCCCACGTCCCCGATGCCACGCTGCCTTGCAAGCCTGCCCCCACTCAGCTTTATCTCCACCCAGGCTGTGGCAGGAGTGTGCAGACTCCCATTTTCCAACCTTCAAATACAATAACATAATAAGGCTTCAAAACACTCCTCATAGGGGAGCTCTGGTGGCCTAGTGGTAAGGAGCTGCAACTACAATCGCAGAGGCGCACGGTTCGAATCCACCAGAAGCTCTGCCGGGGAAGGAGGGACAATCTCCTCCTGTACCAGTCAGATCTGATTTGACGGTGCACTCACACAAAAAATTTTAAAAAAACACTCCTCATAAACCTTTGCAAAGAAACCAGTTCAGGGGGATTGAGATCAAAAGCGGCAAACAGGAGCTGTGAACAGGTGAGCTGCATACCAGAGAGCTTGTGGGAGACATTTCCAGGGAAGAAGCTGTCTTCTCAGTTAAGAGCAGTGGTAACAGCAGCAGCTGTACTAGGCGGCGGGCGGGGGGGTGTCCTGTGGTGCCCACTCTGTCTAAGCCCATTTACGGGTTACTCTGACACACCTCGGGCCAGAAAATGAAGCATCTTAGGGCTCCAAAGACCAAAGCTGTCAAGGATTTCCTTCCTTGCGCCCACAAACACCACCCATGTTCGCAGCAGTCACGAAATTAAAGGACGTGTAGCACTGAGGAAGGATGTCAGGTTAAAGGCTAAGGTTGCTGCTCCAAGGCATGGTATTTCTAGTTCCTTAGGCACTGGAAAGTTGGACAATGAATACAGATGACGAGGAGAATGGCAGCCTCTGAATTGTGCTGGAGAAGGGTACTGGATATGCCAGGGGCTGCTAGACAAGCCTGCCCAGAAGGAAGTGCACTCGGGGCTCTTAGAGGCAAGGTTGGGGAAACTGTTGCACAGACTTCGGACATGTTGTCAGGAGGGATAGTCCTTGGAAAAAGACATCATGCTGGGAAATGTGGAGGGTCAGAGATAGAAGACCCTCAAGGAGATGGACGGATACAGTGACCGTAACAGTGGGCTCACGCATGTCGGAGGTCATGAGCATGGGCCAGTGGCACAGGATAAGACAGCTTCAGCTGTTGTTCACAGGGTCACCGTGAGTCACAGGTGACTCGATGGCACCTAACGACAAGCGCTCACTGCTCCTGTCTTTCCCCATCCTCAGCCAGAGAGGCCCAGAAGGCCCAAATGACAGGACACAGAGGGGCCCATGGTGACCAGTGATGCCATACAGGTCAGGACAGCCACCCCGTGATTCACCCAGAGGGAGAGAGCAGACGGTCTGCACATGAGAACTGGGCAGAGGCAACCCCTCGTGCTTCAGAGCACTACTGCCCCGCAGGCATGTCGGGAAGAGAGGGGACAGGCAGCCCTGTCGGTCACTAGCTCAGGCCACACTGGCTCAGTCCCCAGGGACTGGTGAGGAAGTGACAAGCCCTGGGGAGAATGATGGACCCGATGGGAAACCCCTGGCTGGATGCTGGAAGAGGAAAACATTGATGGGCCCATGAGGGAGCATCTTCCAAAGAAGATGACATAACCCCTCACTCCAAGGGGATAATGGGGGACCAAGTGCCTGCCGGGCAACACCCTTCTATACCTTGGAAGAGGGGCACCCTGTAACCAGTGCCAGCATCAATGGGGTCCCCATGGGTCCTGAGGAGTCTTGAGATCAACACTTTGGGTCACTGCCATAGATGGCAGAACCCCTGAGACTCTGGCCCTTAAGAGACCAGTCAAGCCTGGAGCTGAACTAACCTTACCCCACCTGTAATGACACAACAGACAACAGGTGGGTAGGTCTGTAAAGTGAACAATAGCACCAGGGAGAAACTCCATTCAGAGTATAATTGGCCAGTCACACAAGACCAGCATTTACCCAGGCAGAAAGCTCTGAAGGCAGAAGGGAGAGGACGGAAGGCTGGGTGAAAATGGGAACCACAGGGAGGAACTGGGAGGAGTGCTGCTGCACTGTGAGAGCAGTCACTGTCATGGAACAAAGCTGTTTGCACTGCTGAACAGGAGACCAGTCTGTTCTCACCTTTCACCCAAATCACAGTAAAAAGTTTCAAGAAACCCCAAAACTCCACCCAGCTGTAGAAGCAGTGGAAGCACTGGAAACCTTGCCATTTCTTCTCAATTCTCACAGCGCTGTTCACCTCCTGACCCCTGGGTGTGGCTCCTACTCTGCACAAAAAGGGACTGAGGCCCACAGACCTCTGCTCGCTGTGTCCAGGCCTCGCCTGGATTCCACGTCCAGGTCCCCCAGTTCCAGGCCTCCAGTTCCTGTCTCAAACCTGACACCTTCTCAAGGAAACACCAGCCCTTGACCGGCTCATGCCCGTCCAGGGTGCCGGTCCCTCGACAGAAGTGAAGGCTCCTGGAGGGAGAACTTGGGGTGTCTGTGGCTCTGTATTCTCAGGGTCCAGTCCTACTTCCAGGCCTGGGAGGGAGCTCTGAGAACCCCCTGATGCCAGCCACTTGCAGCATTTGGAAACAAGACAGCGTTCATCACAAGACTGGTAGAGCCAAGAGAAGCCAACCAGGCACAGGATGTCAGGAGTTACTGACACACACGGAACCTTCAGGAGGGTGAGGGGAGGCCTGGGTTCCCAAAGGGCCCAGCTATCCCCACCCACCACCTCGTGATGGCATTCCTATACCCTCAACTCCCTCATGTCTTTGTCCCTCACTTCCGTGCAGCACTCAGGCCTGCTCCTGCTCTGGGCGCACCTGGACAGCAGGTGAGCGTGTCGGCCGCAGGGGAGCGTCCACCAAGGGGCCCAGTTATCCTTAGCCACCGCCTCACGATAGCACTTCTGTGCCCTGGACCCCCTCATGTCCCTCTCCCCCGTTGTGTGCGCGCCCGGGCAGCGTGCCGGCCGCAGGAGAGTGTGGCGCCCACCTTGGTGTCGATCTTCCAGGTGATCTCCCGGATGCTCTGGAACCACTCGAACAGCTCCTCCACCCTGTCGGTGGCGAACTCCACCGGCGGGTCCCCCTGCTTCTTGGGCTCCAGGATGAAGACGAAAGGCTTTTGGTTTTTCCCTTGGGGGGCTTTCACTGCGGAAGAGCAAGGCAGGAGCCCCATCACCTAGGAGCCAGCCTCCAGGACCAGACCTCCCCCCCCACCCCAGCCCTCTCTGTCACCCAAGCAGAACAACTGGTGGGGACCCAGTATGGACGCCTAAACAACCTTAATACTTCGGGGTGCAGTGGACCACACAGTGTACCCCCAAAAGACAGGCCAATACTCTGATCAGGACCTCAGAAGGTCCTGGACAGAACGGGGAAAAGTCACTTCACAGACATCAGCAGTGGACACAGGATTGTGAGTGGTCACCAACTGGACGCAAACCCTTAGACCCAGCCAAGAATCTCCCAGGCCGCAGCATGGCAGGTAAGGGACGTGGCGACAGCTGCGTCCCTGCCCTGGTGGGACTGAGGGCCAGCTCTGGGGGACCCCAACAGGAGGGGACAGGCTCAGGCTGCACGTGCACATACCGACGTTGTAGGTATTGAGGTCCAGGATCCCTTTGCACAGAGACCCCAAGGGGTTGTCTTCAATAATCTGTGAAGAAAGAACTCAAGTGAGAGCAGAAATAATGAAAAGATATTTCAAAGTGTACCCGTCGGCAGAGAGGCTGCCCAGAGAGCTGTTGTGAGATGCATTTTCATTACAGAATCTGTCCAGAGAGAGAGAAGATTGACTATAGGGTCACGAGCACCAGGCGGGCTGCGGGCACTGTGGATCCATGGGCACCAGGCGGGCCGCGGGCACCAGGCAGGCCTCAGGCACCATGGGTCCACGAGCAGCAGGCGGGCCAAGTGCACCGTGGGTCCCCGGCTCCGCTCTCACACGATTCCCATGAACTCTGGCTCTGCTTTCCAAAACCCTCCTGCCCCTGAGGCTGACTGGCCTTACAGAACCTGGTGGACCCCACACACTGTAGCCATAGCCCCCGTCTCAGCCTGGAGCTGATCTCACTCCTGTGGGCTCCACTTTCAGTCAAACAAACAGGCCCACAAAACAGTTACACCAGGGAGGTCCTCAGTCCTTAGAACAATCAGCCATCCAAGATCCAAAGAGCAGCATTTGAAAGGGAAAAAAATCCACAAAAGGCAGGATGAGTTAGGTAAAAAGGATGAGTGGAAACCAGAACCACAGGGTGGAAATGGGAAGAGTGCAGTTGCAATGTCGGGACTTATATCAACGTCATGAAGTAAAATGAGTTGTCGACTGCCGTCGAGTCGAGCACGACTCGTAGTGACTCTAGGAACAAAAGACCTAATGCCTTTCCGTTAACTATCGTCGTTTCTTCAAGTTCATAGTTTTGAGAGGCATGTGGTTTAGGAAGTAGATGCCACTCCTGCTTCCAAACCTGCCTTAAAAACTGGGAGCTCCACCAAACACTGTCCACACTGGGAAACCAATCTGGTATTTGATACCCCAATGGCACAAGGTTCAGCATCACAGCAAACCCAGGTTACTTCATCAGCACATTGAAAAAGAGTGAGGTACAAAGTGGAAGTGTGTTCCTCCAGATAGAAGTGCACTGGTCTCACTGAGCAGTGGTTAAGTGGCGCCAAGTTGAATACAACTCAGAGTAAGCTTTGCACAAAAGACCTGAACTGTTTTAGAACATCATTTCTGTACATTTAGAGAGTTTAGAGAGTTTGTACAGTTTCTAGAGACATCTAGTTTAAGAAGTGGATACATTCCTGCTTCCCAGCGTGAATCAATCTGGGAAAATCAATCTGTTCTGTAAACTCACCTAAATCACCTAAGTTAAATCATAAAAACCCTCCTGATTCAGTGTCCTCTAGTAGAAAAGTTAAAGTCCAGCCATACAGTGAACTATTGCCCAGTTATGAAGAGGGTGTCTAGCCATACAATCGGCTATAAAAGGGGGTGAAGACATGGGATGAAACTGGAAAACATGATGCTGAGAAAAGTGAGCCAAGCTTACAGCTCCCACTTTTAAGTGGGAATTTCTAGAACTGGCTAACACAAGAGACTAAAACTAGTCTCCAGGGCCAGGGCGGTGAGCATGGGGGTCTCCTGCTAGAAGGGCTGAAGAAAGAAAAGTTCTGGGACGTGGTGACGGCTGCAGAACAGGCAGTGCCGTGAACACCCCTGAACTCAGGTGAGACAGTGCAGGACCAGGTAAGGAGAACAATGTCACTGAACTGCACAGGATGAATGTCACATGGTGTCTGGTTTTCTGTGTGTCCTCAACAAAATTTAGGAGTAAATGGTTAAACTGGTGACAGTTGGACAGCACGATGAACTCAATGTCATTAACTGTACCGTGAGAAATCAAAATGGAAATTTCTTTGCCATAAGCAATTTTAAAACCTTCACAGCACGGTTAAAATAGATGCCATTTCTTCTCCTCTTACTACAGTGAAATGAAAACAACAAAAGTATTCCTTTCTGGGCCCACTGTCTGGCATGACTATGAAACAGGACCATTTAGCAAATGACAGCCCAGCTCAGCAACCTTCTGTTGCTCCCTGTGTCCAAGGGAACAAAGAAACAGCAGTCTGAAAGGTGTCTGCCCAGAACTGCCTCCCACTGCACACCCTGTTTCCGAGCCATCCCTGTCAGAGCCGGGATGGTGGCATTGGCCACTCCAGGGACTGGCCTCCCTCCTGGCTGTCACGGACAGGGGTGAAGGCAGGGCAGCACAGACATGACAGAGCCCTCTGCTGGGCTCACATCCCTCCTGGACTCCCCATTGTCAGCCTCCTGCCGTGGGACTCTGCCCTGACTCTCAAGTCCCCTCCTCCAGGAAGCCTTCTCGGATGCCTCTCCTCCCTTAGCATCCTCACTACAGAGATACCACCCTGGGTGCCAAGCACCATTACTCAAAAGTGGCTGTCCTTCTAGCGAAGATGAGGCTGGTGCCCCGAGACCAGGTCCTCAAGGTCACCACGAGGCCTCCTTCGACCTTCCGGTCAGACTTGCTGGCTTACTGGGGCACACCAAGCATGTCTCGTGTCTGGCTGTCCAAACTACACACGTTTCATTTGCATTTGGCCTCGTCCCGAGGGCCCTCTCTGCCCACTCAGCCCGTTCACACCTGTACGACCTGTTACAATGCAGCAGGCCTTCCTCACACAGGGGCCTTCATTCACGACAGACAGAGGACGCCTGCAATCTCCTGGTCTCTCGCTCCGCCTTCTTCCTCAGCTCCACTGGGAACACCCACAGCTGTGCAGACTGTCCCCCCCCCAGATGGCTCAGTGGGCCCCAGGGCACACCTGCTTCTCCAGCTCTTCAACATCAGCGGTTGCAATGTCCTCAACGTAGTTGGATGGGAAGTACTGCTGGATCCGGGTCCCATAGTCACCTTTCCACCTAGAGAAAGACAGTGGGGTGGCGTGAACACCCACTCCCGGGCTCTGTTGCTGCTGTGAGGACATGGGGCAGGCAGGGCTGAGGACCACGGGGCCGGCCGCTGTCTGTGACAGAGCCATCCACGGGGGGGTCCACTGCTCTGCCAGCAGCGGGGTGACTGGGCCACATCCTCCCCTTACTGGGCACCTAATGTTCGTCTGGAGCCTCTGAGTGTCACAAATGGCTAGAGACTCAACCAGTGATTTACCACAAGGTTGGCAGTTCAAATCCAGGTGTCTCAGGAGACAGCCTGTGGACCTGTTTCCAAGAGTCCACAGCTTTGAAAACCCTACAGAGCAGTTCTACTCTGGACACGTGAGGTCGCTGCACATTAACCCAATAGAAACTGGTGACTGTGACACTCGGCAATAAACGCCATGGTCAAAGAGCGTGAAGTCAGAGCTATGAAGACAGGAGCCCAGCTCTGAGGCCTGTACCCACTCCTGAGTCACAAAGGGCTGGATCTGAGCTGCAAGAGTGGCGAGAAGATTCTGGAGGCGGGAGGCTTGGGATCAAACACCAGTTCCACTCCCTACGGAGGAACTGGCAACATAGGTTCTCCGTGTCTCAGTCTCTCAGCCTATAAAATGGGAATAATACCAGCACTTCCATCTATTTCCCGGTAGGAGGAGATGCGGTGACCTTTGCTGGGGGCTTTCGACAGCACCTAGTACACAGTAGGGGCTCAGCAGAGCTAGTCAGCTCAAACCTACCTTGGAATCTGGAAGTCTACAAGAAAACCGGGTTGGACAGTCTCCTTATTTTCAAAAAAGGTTTGAACACCTGTTCCGTTTCCTGGCCTGCCTCCGCTCTCCCCAGCCTGGGAGGTGACAGGTCAACCCTGGCCTCCATCGTCCTGAGCCCTGGCAGGGTGTGGGGAGGGACAGGACATACTCATGATGGGAAAGAGAGGAGGTGAGAGCATGGGCTCTTGAGTCGAACGCCTGCTGTGTTGCCCTGGGCAACCAGCACAACAGTCCTGTCAGAGCTTCCTCATCTGTGAAATGCAGGCAATGACAGAGCCAACCGAACAGGGTGAGGGTATGGACTCAACCAGGTGGTCCTTAAATAGCGTTTCACATACAGAGACATCTAAGGGACACAAACTGCCACTCCGTGTGTACGGCCAGGCTATCCTGTGGCGGAGGAAGGTCCATCTTTAAGGAGCGTAAAACTCAGCCAGTGCTCACATGATGAACAAAGACTTGCTTCAAGAAGAACCACTGGCCAAGTGAAGCAAATGAAACTGATAGGTAATAACTTACCACCCCCCCAACCCCCGCAAAGGGGAGGGGAGTAAAAGGACTAGGAAACCAAACTCTCATATACCCAGGTACCCCTGGCCTGAAGATGCAGGCTCAGCGCCCAAGAAAGGACTAAGAACTAGTGTATAAAGCTAAGGTTAAATTCACACACAGGCTTGGGCACGGCAAGATCCTGAGTGACCTGGGAACGCCTCACTTCCCCACTATCAGGTGACCTGATTTAATGCTGTTTCCTCAACAAGATATTCCTTTAGGATTATGCCTGCACCACCACCTCAGAATCCTGCATATCCGTGATGCCTGGTCAAGCCTGGCTCACAGCCACCCTGCAGGACCGGACAGAAAATCCTCACAGGAATTCTGAGGCTGCAAAGTAGGAAAAGTCATAAATTAGCAGGGTCCTATTAGAGACTGACTTTGACGGCAAGTGGCGGCAATTAGCTGAGTGCCTCCCACAGGGAAAGATTTCAGTGACAGTAGCTGCAGTTCTAATAGACGGTGTATGAACTGCTAAACTCAAAACTCACTGCCACTGAGGAGGAATTGAGACTCAGCTGATTTTCAGAGGTTGTAAACAGCATGGAGGAAGGATGGCAGTATAAAGACTAAGGAGCGCCTGATGCAGGTAACGGCATTTTCAAGTGCTTTGTGTCCAGCTTGAAGTTGGACAATGAATAAGGAAGACCAAAGAAGAAGTGAAGCCTCTGAACTGTGGTGTTAAGAGATGAGAACGGAACAGAACAGACCGCCGAGGAGCAAACAAGTCTGTCTGGGAGGCAGAGCAGCGCCATGCGCCTGACAGCCACGGACGGGGAACCTGGTCTCACATACTTGGGGCGTGTTGTCAAGAAGGACAGGTCCTCGGAACAAGACATCCCGCTGGGAAAGTGGAGGGTCAGTGAAAGAGGAAGACTGTCAACGAGATGAACCGAGTGACTGTGACATGGACTGGGGCAGATCAGCAGTGGCAAGCACCGCGGTGCGGGGAGAGCGCAGGGTAAGATCTGCTGTCCGCAGGGCTGCTAAGGGTGTGGTCACCTTGACAGGCCCCAGCACCAACGTGTTGTTGGCCACTGTCTGGTCCATTCCCAGTCCTGGCAACCCCACATGTGCAGGTCAGAACTGCTCCATAGGGCTCTCCAGGACATGACCTTTCAGAAGATCACCTGGCCCGTCTTTCACGGTGCCTCCAGGTGGGTTCAAACCATCAACCTTTCGGCTAGTGGTTGAGCACGCCACCGTGGGCCCACCAGAGCTTCCTGTGTGTGGTGTCCTACAGCTTGTTATCACAGTGCCTGACCCACCTGCCCGGGAAAGCACATCAAGCCCTTTCCCAGGGGATGTCAACGCCAGCCTGGAACACACCACTTCAAAGCAGCAGGTGGACGCACCACCCCAAAGCGGCAGGTCCCCTGGCCCTCAGCCCAGCCCGCCAGGCTCCCTGCCTTACCAGCCGCCGGGCTCCTTGGACACGTTGTGGATGAGGGCGCCCCGGCAGAAGGTCAGCTCGTCGCTCCGCTTGGCTTTGTAGTCGTACAGCGCTTTCACGGTTCTCTGGGGCTTTCAGGGGAAACGAGGAGGAGAAAGGTCGGACCAGGAGAAAAGGCAGCAGCCGCATCAGCCGGAGCAAGCCTACAGCACCATCTGCTGGTGACGGCGGGTCACCACAGCACGAGGAAGGGGACGGGCACATCACCTTGGGGTGACCCCACAGCAGTTTCCTCAAAAACAAAGATTCTGCTGCCTCTGGTCAACCACCCTGGAAATCCTGCACGTCTGTTGCCCTGAACGATTCTGACGCCCCCACCCCCGCACCCCTGCAGGACAGAATGGAATTGCCCCGTGGAGTTTCCGAGGCCGCACATGCTTATGGAAGCTGACCCTGGCTCTCAAGGAGTGGCTGGTGGGTTCAAACCGCCGACCTGCTGGAGAGTAGCTAAGCGTTAGGGCTCCGTTATCCTGAGAACCCACTGTCAGCTCGGACTCAGTGACCCTCTGTCGGGGTTCCCAGGCTTTAGATCATTATGGGGACCACCGCCCATCTTTCTTCCACGGAACACCTGGTGGATGCAAAGGACTGACCTTTCAGTTAGCAACACAACATGCCAGGTGCTACACCACCAGGACTCCTTTCCATCTTGAGAGGGGGACCCAAACCCAAACCCACTGTCATCAAGCAAATTCCAATTTACAGTAACACCGTGAGTGGCTTAGTGGTTAAGGAGCTGCGCTGCCAGCCCAAAGGCACACGGTTCAAATCCGCCAGCTTCTCTGAAGGAGAAAAATGAGCCATCTCCTCCCGTGCGATTTACTGCTTCTGCGCTGTGGGTCGGTTCCTGCTCAGCAGCAAAGAACAGCAGCAAGAAGTCACTTTGTGGGGCAGAGCAGAGCAGAGCAGCCCACGGGTTCCAAGGCTGTAAACGTTTATGGAAGCAGAGCCACTGAGGGCTCAAGCCGCCTGCCTCTGAGTGAACAACCAAGCATTCACGCACCGGACCTGCCGTCAGAGTCTATTCCAACTCCTGGCAGCGTGCAGGACGGACAGCTGGCCCACGGCTTTCAGACTCATCTCTACACCGACCGCCACCACTACTCCACAGAGCAGCCGGCACCTTCATGCCACTTCAGCTCTCAGTTAGCGCCCGAATGTTTAACCCACCATGCCACCAAGGTTCCTCTGCGGTTGGACAGTGCCCATCCCCCAAATTCATGTGCACCCAGAACCCGTGAATATGATCTGATTTAGGAATAAGGTCTTTGTAGATGTCATCAAGTTGGTGTCATACAGGACTGGGGAGATCCCATGTGACTAATGGGGACAGAGCCCGTACCACCAGGTGAAAGCGGAGACAGACTGGAGCAATGTGACAGTAAGCCCAAGGTGTCCCAGGACCCAGAGTCTGGGAGAGAAACGAAACCCAGAGTCGCCCTCAGGGCCGTGCGGAGAAAGCAGCTCCGGCCACCCCTGCCGCAGACCCCGACCTCCACCAATGGGAGCCTCAACTGCTGCTGCCTGAACCCTTCGGCGCCCCACGCAACTCGTGTGTCTACCTCCATTTCTGCTTCACGGGTTCAGGGAGGCAAGGTGCTGCCTCACTTTCCATCAAGCTGCCATCTACTAGAGGTTGTGTGATCCTGGGAATCTGAGCGGAGAGCCCCTTCCTCCCAAAGACCCCTCATGACACCTGTGTCCCGCTGATTTCATCAAAATCCGTATTACCAATTTCCCCCATCTCATCCCAAATACCTTCCGTTACTGTAAACCTATCGTTTCAATAAAGCAGGAAATAACTTCGTCTTGAAAGAGTTATGTTGCCCAGTTTGCAGTATGATATACGGCAGCCCAAGAAAACAAGTTCTCAGACTCATTCTGAGACTCGGATGATCTAAGCTTTACAGAGCTCAGTATCTGCATCTGTAAAATGGAGCCACAAACAATGCCCACATCACAGGCCTCTGTGAAGACGGACAAGGTGCCCAAGCACTTACAACAGTATCTGGTGTGTGTTACTGTTACTGTGTGTTAGCCCATCCAGGGACTCAGTGGCTCATGGGTGCCACCGAGTCGGCCCACCTTTTGACCACAGCTGACACATCACACGCTTCCTCCAGGGTTCTTTAGCCGACAACAGCTAACTTAACCTCACTTCCCTGACAGCTAGCTTCGCACTGAGAACTGTTTGCACTTATCTACACCTGATCTTTACAAGGACACTACAAGAAAGGTGCTATTCTCTGTTCCATTTTATCAGTGATGTAACAGAGAGGTGAAGTCACGTGTGCTCAAGTGTCCTTCCAAAGACACTCCACGCCCATCATCCATCAAACCACTGGAGGCTCTGCCAAAGCTCCTTAGCACTGGCCAAATGTGCACCCAGGAGAAGCAGCAGGCATTCCATAGCGCTGGTGAAAGTCTCTGCTGATAGCTAGGCCCCAGGGCTCTGTGCATACAATTCCATTCACCCACACCTTTGCTTGACTCCATCTCCTCCCAAGAAGGCTTAGCATTGCTCAGAGATGATAAATTACAAAACAAAACCCGTCCGCAGGCTCCTGCAGCTGAATTACTTAACCCCAAGGCACCAGAGCTCTCTCAAGAGAACATAAACCCAAAAACAGTGCCATCAAGTCGATTCCAAGCCATTGTGACCTGAGAGACGGTTTCCCAGGTTATAAACCTTTACAAGAGGGCATTTCTCTTTCTCCTGCAAAGCCTTTCAAACTGCTGGTGTTGAGATTAGCAGCACAACATATAACCACGCACTAGAGCTTCTCAGAGGAATACGGAGTCGGGGACATGGGATCTGGGGGAGGAGGAATCGGTACCCACCGTCGGGCTGATTTCACTCGGGTCCACATACATCCTGCTGACGTCATACAGGGAGTTTATGTCTCTTTCCTGAAATGAGAAAAAAAAGAGCAAAGAAAAATAAATGGCCCACCTGTGTTCTTGGGACAACCTATACACCGTATATACAAACTGAAGGTCTTTGGTTTCTTGTTTCTGTCTGACTTGTAAAACCCAAGACTGTGTCCAGGGTTAGTCAACCTAAAGGTTGACGGTTCAAGCTGACCTAGGGCTGTCTCAGAAGAAAGTCCTGCCTGTCTCCTTCTGTGAGGGCGGAGGGCTGCCATGAGCGGGGTCAGCGCAATGGCAACAGGTTTAGTTCCAAAGGGTCCTCTGGTAGAATGGAGACCTCACAGAATGAACTTCAAGTTCATGGGGAGAGACGGGAAGATGCTGGAAAGCCAAGGCGGCTCCCCCTCCTGGTTTCCTCGGTGCCAGGCACCAAGCTCCACTCCCACCCTACGGTCGCCCATGGGCCATGGCCAGGACACCCCCGTGAGGGTCGACTGCAGGCAACTGTGCCAACGACCTGACTCCTTGCTGGCACTGGCCAGTTGGCCAGCATGAGGTGTGTCCCACAGGCGACAACTCCTTGGATCATCTAAAGCCATCACCAGTGAGTCGACTGTGACCCAGAGTGACTCCGCAGGGCAGGGCAAGCCGCCCAGAGGGTCTGCGAGGCTGCAATCGTTAGGGGAGCAGAATGACCCAGCTTTGTCCGGAGGAGCGAAGGTGGGTCCAAGCCACCAACATTTCGGTTGTTAGTCTAATGCTTAACTCACTGCACCACCTGACAAAAGGCTCCAAACCCAGGGCCTCAAGTCCGTGTCAGTTCACTGTGACCGTCCATCATCGTTTCTATGGATTTAAGTCTTTACAGGACAACTACCTCACTTTCCTCCAGCAGAGCAGCTGGTGGCTTCGAACTGCCGACCTTTTGGTTAACAGACCAATGTAAAGCCCAATGCACCAGCAGGTCTCCTTAGCCGCTATAGCCCAGGGCTGACGTTCCCCAGTGGGCAGGACTGCCCCGACCGTCCTCGGACCCCGCCTTGGCCCTCTTCCTGGGTCCAGACACAGCAGCCTGTTCTCACAAACTCTCCTAAGCTTCACGCCTCCACTGCCCTCACTCCTCCTTCCAGCCTGGGGCTCCCCAGTACCCCACGTTCTGAGCCAGCCAGCTCCCGGCCCTGTCTGTGTGTCCATTTACTACGAACCAGATGGGGAGCCAGGTCATCTCCCGTCCACTGGGGTCCCTCCAGGGCTCAGTGAAAGCCAGGGTCTTACAACACATACTGGTCCCCACAATCTGTCCCACTCTGGTTCTAACCCTCCAAGTGACCCCAGCCACCGTGTGCTCAGGGGTCTGGGGGGTGAAGGGGCAGCTGGACCGTGGCCCTAGCCATCCACTCGCCCCAGGCAGGTGACACCCACCATGCTGTAGCGCTCCAGCAGCTCGGGGGTCACGGGGTAGCGCAGCCTCATCTTACGGTACAGCGCGTGCTTCTCGTAGTAGCTGACCAGCTCCACCAGGCTCTCGAAGTAGGCCGAGGTCCCCAGTACCAAGTGCCGGCCGTCCCGGTTGATGCGACAGTGCTTCACCTTGCCCCTGGCCCTGGACAGGAGAGTGCAGGGTCAGACACCCGAGACCTGGGCCAGCCACCTAAACGGGGCGCCGGCCTCCCACAGGATACGGCCAGGGCTCCTCTCCAGGTGGAAACACAGCGCTTCTCCACAGGGTCATGAGGGTAGATTCCTCACAAGCACATGGCCAGGCCTTTGTTTCTGAGGCCCCCTCGGAGCGGACGTGAACCTCCAAACATTCTCTAAGTGACTCAGTGCATGAATGGTTTGCACCCCCCAGCAACTCAGACCATGTTAAAGCTGGAGGTGGGGAGCCATCCAGACATGCCGAGGGGGCCATCAGGCAGCTCCTCCAGGCCCCCCTCTGCCCCAAACACAGGGTTTACCTTTAGGAACATGCTGGGTATTCAGAGCAAGAGTTGGCAAACTCAGGCCCGGGGGCCAGACTGTAAATAAAGTTTTATCGGTACACAGTCAAGATCATTTGTATCAAACGGCTGCTTTTGAGCTGCAAGGCACCTTGGTGGCACGGTGGGTTAAGCTCTGGTATGCCAATCTAAAGGTCAGTGGCTGGAACCCTCAGGGGAAGAGGAGGCACAGATTGACAGCCTTGAAAACCCTCTGGGGTCGTTCTCCTCGGCACCACAGGGTCGCTGTGTTCACAATTACCTCACAGCAGCGGGGTTCACGCTATAAAGGCCAAGCTCCACAGCCACACCCGAGCCTGAAATACTGTCCAGGCCCTGAGACAGAGAAGGTCTGATTCTGATCAAAGTCTTGATCTCCTATCTCCAACTGCCCATCAACTATAACAAAAGGACTGCCTTCAAAAGGAAAGCAAACCTTTAGGTTTGGGGTCTTTTCTGAAAACAGGGCTCACTCTCCTTCATAGCTGTGGAGTCAGAATAGGCTCATAGCTCACTTTCCAACAGGTTTTCAGAGGCTGAAAATCACATGGGAGGAAACTGTTTTCCCTCGGAGCCACGGGACGACTTGAGCCACTGAGAGGCGTCAACTTTGGGTTGTCAGTACAGTTCCCTACAGACGACGTAAGAGGCAGGAGGGAAAAGTCCACACAGGTTCTTCTCAGCTTTTATCCACAAGAAGTCCAAGTTCAGGCTCCAACCTGACAAAGGCCGGGGCTGGGGGGTGTCTTAACAAAGACTACAATCTGCGGGCTTGGTGTCTATGTACCTGCTGTTCCTCTTCTAACCATTCTGTGCTTTCAAGGCTCATTTACCATTTTAAAGAAACAAGGATCCAGGGGAGCTCTGGTGGTCTAGTGGCAAGGAGCTGCAACTACAATCCCAGAGGCGCACGGTTCAAATCCACCAGATGCTCTGCCGGGGAAGGAGGGACAATCTCCTCATGTACCAGTCAGATCTGATTTGATGGTACACACACAAAAATAAATAAAATTTAAAAAAATAAATAAACAAGGATCCCTTTTCAAAATATTCTAAAAAAAATATGCTAGAGGACTTCCATTTCAGAGCTTTATTTAAGAAGATAGTTTGTTCATCTAAATATTCTTTTAAAAATATCAGAAAGGAGCTCCTATGAACACGTGAGTTGTAGAGTGAAACGAGTATTTTTAAAGCATGGCTCAAAATACTCACATGCAAAACATCATCTGGATTTTCCATCTCAAAAAGTTTTCCACACAGATGTGAGAGGCCGCTGAGCTGGCTCCAATTCACAGCGACCCCACGTGTGCATGCGTGAGACCCGGCCTGGCCCTGACGCCAGCCTCACATTCTCTCCTGAGATCAGTTACAGCCACTGGCTCAGTCCCATCTCGGTGAGGTCCATGCAGATGTATGTGTGCAAACTCACTTTTAAAATGAAAAGGTCTAGAGAGAGGCAGCAATTAAGAGACTGCTTCTTACAAGTACAAGGTTGGAGACTGGGAGAACCAGGCTGGGTCTCAGCCTTCTCTGTAATGTTTTCATTTTCAGTAAGGAGACATATTCACGGAATAGCCCTGTACTGAAATGTTAATTTGAAAACTTTTTACAAGAGGGCACTGGGGTGTTGAGTTTCTGGAGAACCCTCTGAGTGCCTGGGAGTCTTTTAAGACTTTGGGAACATACAGGAAGCTTCTGGAAGCATTTCTTCTACAGAAACGGACGAGCTGGCCAGCCTTCAGGTCTGAATGCTAAAATGAAGTGGTCCCTCGGTGGGAGGGGTGGGAGGCAGCCTTTGAGGGCTAAGGGACTTCTTGGTTAAGCACAAGCCTCTAGCCCTGCAGTCCATGAACTCACAGAACATTCTGGAAGGTTGGAAAGACCACTCATACTACGGTCCTGGCTCCTCAGCTTCCCTTTCAATTCTTCCTCCTACCAAGGTGATTTGCGTTTGGCTTTGCTTGTATTTTCTCACAGGGGGTCCCTGGAGGGTGTGAATGGTGAATGCTGATGGAGAGGTGGGAAGTTTGTCGCTATTTAGAAGCACCGAGGAAGAAAGGCCTGGTGATCGACGTGTGACAAGTTAGCCAGGGAGAGTGGTAGAGAGTGCAGTCAGAATGGAATCCATGGCCACAGTCACTGAGACCCCGCTGAGGGTCCTCGGAAGTGTGGATGAGGAAATGAGTCACTGTCACCACACGAGGAAGAAGTCATTCAGGAACCAGGGTGCAGTCACCACAGAGCGCCACGGCCCCAGAGGATCATGGTTAAATGGTTGCCCCGTGGCACCCCGGGGTGGCAGCTGGGGGTCAGAGGAACACAGCGTGGTGGGCTGGGCTGCCTGGGTTCAAATCCCAGCTCCACCACTTCCTGGCTGTTTGCTCTGACAAGTTAAATGACCTCTCTGTGCTTGGTTTCCGCCTCTGACAGATGGGCCCGCAGTAATGCCAACTCCAGAGCCACCAGAGGAGGAAATGGGCTCACCTTGAACACACTGCTCTAGATGACCCAGGGAGACTCACACTGTCACTGTGAGTCACTACTGCTGCTGTCGTAGCAGGGCACGCTGTGTGTGGGGTACGAGTTCCAGGCCACGACACCCCTCTGCACTTGTCCACTCAGCCTCTGAGTGGGGTGTCCAGAACCCCCACCCCGTCCCCGTTACCTGAAGGTGATGGCGTAGGAGTCGGCACCTTCTCGCTTCCGGATCAGGAAGGCCCCATCCCGGGGGACCCTCATCAGCATGTCCTCCGCTTCCCCACGGCTCAGACTGTCGTAATACCACCTGGGGCAGAGGGTAAGAGTAAACCACTGAGACAGGCAGTGAGGGCACAGTCAGGCGAGGGAGAGGGCGGAAAACTCAGCCAGGTGAGAGAGACGGG